GCAGTATGTTTGTCAATGTGTGTATTCAACTTCCAGAGTTAAACTGATGTGTGTTTGCAGCAGTTCAGAAACCCTTTCTTTGGAGAATGTAGAAACAGTCATTTCCAGCCCTAGAAACGCATGTAAGAGTTAGCAGTAAGAATGCGTTTAAAACACAGAAAACCCGCTTCTTACAAACTCATCTGCTGTGTGTTGGTTCCTTTTAGGAAGTTGCATCTATGTTTAGATTCAGCGAGGTAGAAACACGTTTCTTCTAAAAGCTGCGTTTGGACATTCCAGAGTGCATGGGAGAACATGCTGTAAAGAGAAAATCTTGCTCTAAAACCAAAACGGAGCTATCTAGCAGTATGTTTGTCAATGTGTGTATTCAACTTCCAGAGTTAAACTGATGTGTGTTTGCAGCAGTTCAGAAACCCTTTCTTTGGAGAATGTAGAAACAGTCATTTCCAGCCCTAGAAACGCATGTAAGAGTTAGCAGTAAGAATGCGTTTAAAACACAGAAAACCCGCTTCTTACAAACTCATCTGCTGTGTGTTGGTTCCTTTTAGGAAGTTGCATCTATGTTTAGATTCAGCGAGGTAGAAACACGTTTCTTCTAAAAGCTGCGTTTGGACATTCCAGAGTGCATGGGAGAACATGCTGTAAAGAGAAAATCTTGCTCTAAAACCAAAACGGAGCTATCTAGCAGTATGTTTGTCAATGTGTGTATTCAACTTCCAGAGTTAAACTGATGTGTGTTTGCAGCAGTTCAGAAACCCTTTCTTTGGAGAATGTAGAAACAGTCATTTCCAGCCCTAGAAACGCATGTAAGAGTTAGCAGTAAGAATGCGTTTAAAACACAGAAAACCCGCTTCTTACAAACTCATCTGCTGTGTGTTGGTTCCTTTTAGGAAGTTGCATCTATGTTTAGATTCAGCGAGGTAGAAACACGTTTCTTCTAAAAGCTGCGTTTGGACATTCCAGAGTGCATTGGAGAACAGGCTGTAAAGAGAAAAACCTTGCTCTAAAACCAAAACGGAGCTATCTAGCAGAATGTTTGTCAATGTGTGTATTCAACTTCCAGAGTTAAACTGATGTGTGTTTGCAGCAGTTCAGAAACCCTTTCTTTGGAGAATGTAGAAACAGTCATTTCCAGCCCTAGAAACGCATGTAAGAGTTAGCAGTAAGAATGCGTTTAAAACACAGAAAACCCGCTTCTTACAAACTCATCTGCTGTGTGTTGGTTCCTTTTAGGAAGTTGCATCTATGTTTAGATTCAGCGAGGTAGAAACACGTTTCTTCTAAAAGCTGCGTTTGGACATTCCAGAGTGCATGGGAGAACATGCTGTAAAGAGAAAATCTTGCTCTAAAACCAAAACGGAGCTATCTAGCAGTATGTTTGTCAATGTGTGTATTCAACTTCCAGAGTTAAACTGATGTGTGTTTGCAGCAGTTCAGAAACCCTTTCTTTGGAGAATGTAGAAACAGTCATTTCCAGCCCTAGAAACGCATGTAAGAGTTAGCAGTAAGAATGCGTTTAAAACACAGAAAACCCGCTTCTTACAAACTCATCTGCTGTGTGTTGGTTCCTTTTAGGAAGTTGCATCTATGTTTAGATTCAGCGAGGTAGAAACACGTTTCTTCTAAAAGCTGCGTTTGGACATTCCAGAGTGCATTGGAGAACAGGCTGTAAAGAGAAAAACCTTGCTCTAAAACCAAAACGGAGCTATCTAGCAGAATGTTTGTCAATGTGTGTATTCAACTTCCAGAGTTAAACTGATGTTTGTTTGCAGCAGTTCAGAAACCCTTTCTTTGGAGAATGTAGAAACAGTCATTTCCAGCCCTAGAAACGCATGTAAGAGTTAGCAGTAAGAATGCGTTTAAAACACAGAAAACCCGCTTCTTACAAACTCATCTGCTGTGTGTTGGTTCCTTTTAGGAAGTTGCATCTATGTTTAGATTCAGCGAGGTAGAAACACGTTTCTTCTAAAAGCTGCGTTTGGACATTCCAGAGTGCATTGGAGAACAGGCTGTAAAGAGAAAAACCTTGCTCTAAAACCAAAACGGAGCTATCTAGCAGAATGTTTGTCAAAGTGTGTATTCAACTTCCAGAGTTAAACTGATGTTTGTTTGCAGCAGTTCAGAAACCCTTTCTTTGGAGAATGTAGAAACAGTCATTTCCAGCCCTAGAAACGCATGTAAGAGTTAGCAGTAAGAATGCGTTTAAAACACAGAAAACCCGCTTCTTACAAACTCATCTGCTGTGTGTTGGTTCCTTTTAGGAAGTTGCATCTATGTTTAGATTCAGCGAGGTAGAAACACGTTTCTTCTAAAAGCTGCATTTGGACATTCCAGAGTGCATGGGAGAACATGCTGTAAAGAGAAAATCTTGCTCTAAAACCAAAACGGAGCTATCTAGCAGTATGTTTGTCAATGTGTGTATTCAACTTCCAGAGTTAAACTGATGTGTGTTTGCAGCAGTTCAGAAACCCTTTCTTTGGAGAATGTAGAAACAGTCATTTCCAGCCCTAGAAACGCATGTAAGAGTTAGCAGTAAGAATGCGTTTAAAACACAGAAAACCCGCTTCTTACAAACTCATCTGCTGTGTGTTGGTTCCTTTTAGGAAGTTGCATCTATGTTTAGATTCAGCGAGGTAGAAACACGTTTCTTCTAAAAGCTGCATTTGGACATTCCAGAGTGCATGGGAGAACATGCTGTAAAGAGAAAATCTTGCTCTAAAACCAAAACGGAGCTATCTAGCAGTATGTTTGTCAATGTGTGTATTCAACTTTCAGAGTTAAACTGATGTGTGTTTGCAGCAGTTCAGAAACCCTTTCTTTGGAGAATGTAGAAACAGTCATTTCCAGCCCTAGAAACGCATGTAAGAGTTAGCAGTAAGAATGCGTTTAAAACACAGAAAACCCGCTTCTTACAAACTCATCTGCTGTGTGTTGGTTCCTTTTAGGAAGTTGCATCTATGTTTAGATTCAGCGAGGTAGAAACACGTTTCTTCTAAAAGCTGCGTTTGGACATTCCAGAGTGCATTGGAGAACAGGCTGTAAAGAGAAAAACCTTGCTCTAAAACCAAAACGGAGCTATCTAGCAGTATGTTTGTCAATGTGTGTATTCAACTTCAGAGTTAAACTGATGTTGTTTGCAGCAGTTCAGAAACCCTTTCTTTGGAGAATGTAGAAACAGTCATTTCCAGCCCTAGAAACGCATGTAAGAGTTAGCAGTAAGAATGCGTTTAAAACACAGAAAACCCGCTTCTTACAAACTCATCTGCTGTGTGTTGGTTCCTTTTAGGAAGTTGCATCTATGTTTAGATTCAGCGAGGTAGAAACACGTTTCTTCTAAAAGCTGCGTTTGGACATTCCAGAGTGCATGGGAGAACATGCTGTAAAGAGAAAATCTTGCTCTAAAACCAAAACGGAGCTATCTAGCAGTATGTTTGTCAATGTGTGTATTCAACTTCCAGAGTTAAACTGATGTGTGTTTGCAGCAGTTCAGAAACCCTTTCTTTGGAGAATGTAGAAACAGTCATTTCCAGCCCTAGAAACGCATGTAAGAGTTAGCAGTAAGAATGCGTTTAAAACACAGAAAACCCGCTTCTTACAAACTCATCTGCTGTGTGTTGGTTCCTTTTAGGAAGTTGCATCTATGTTTAGATTCAGCGAGGTAGAAACACGTTTCTTCTAAAAGCTGCGTTTGGACATTCCAGAGTGCATGGGAGAACATGCTGTAAAGAGAAAATCTTGCTCTAAAACCAAAACGGAGCTATCTAGCAGTATGTTTGTCAATGTGTGTATTCAACTTCCAGAGTTAAACTGATGTGTGTTTGCAGCAGTTCAGAAACCCTTTCTTTGGAGAATGTAGAAACAGTCATTTCCAGCCCTAGAAACGCATGTAAGAGTTAGCAGTAAGAATGCGTTTAAAACACAGAAAACCCGCTTCTTACAAACTCATCTGCTGTGTGTTGGTTCCTTTTAGGAAGTTGCATCTATGTTTAGATTCAGCGAGGTAGAAACACGTTTCTTCTAAAAGCTGCGTTTGGACATTCCAGAGTGCATGGGAGAACATGCTGTAAAGAGAAAATCTTGCTCTAAAACCAAAACGGAGCTATCTAGCAGTAATGTTTGTCAATGTGTGTATTCAACTTCCAGAGTTAAACTGATGTGTGTTTGCAGCAGTTCAGAAACCCTTTCTTTGGAGAATGTAGAAACAGTCATTTCCAGCCCTAGAAACGCATGTAAGAGTTAGCAGTAAGAATGCGTTTAAAACACAGAAAACCCGCTTCTTACAAACTCATCTGCTGTGTGTTGGTTCCTTTTAGGAAGTTGCATCTATGTTTAGATTCAGCGAGGTAGAAACACGTTTCTTCTAAAAGCTGCGTTTGGACATTCCAGAGTGCATTGGAGAACAGGCTGTAAAGAGAAAACCTTGCTCTAAAACCAAAACGGAGCTATCTAGCAGAATGTTTGTCAATGTGTGTATTCAACTTCCAGAGTTAAACTGATGTTTGTTTGCAGCAGTTCAGAAACCCTTTCTTTGGAGAATGTAGAAACAGTCATTTCCAGCCCTAGAAACGCATGTAAGAGTTAGCAGTAAGAATGCGTTTAAAACACAGAAAACCCGCTTCTTACAAACTCATCTGCTGTGTGTTGGTTCCTTTTAGGAAGTTGCATCTATGTTTAGATTCAGCGAGGTAGAAACACGTTTCTTCTAAAAGCTGCGTTTGGACATTCCAGAGTGCATGGGAGAACATGCTGTAAAGAGAAAATCTTGCTCTAAAACCAAAACGGAGCTATCTAGCAGTATGTTTGTCAATGTGTGTATTCAACTTCCAGAGTTAAACTGATGTGTGTTTGCAGCAGTTCAGAAACCCTTTCTTTGGAGAATG